CAAAAACTTGCCACTGCCTGTGTCTGCAGTGTAAATTATTCCCCAATTCTTCACCTTGTGCTGCCTGCCCAGATGATGGTCCTGCTGGCTGTGTGTAATGTGTGTTATTATCTGTTATATGTCGTGTGTAAATCTACAATAGTTGGTTTCTTACGTTATGATGGACCAATAATTCAGGGTACCAAATTCTGTCTTGTTCAACTTGTTTGTGAGAGCCCGCCACGAATGATTTTCAACTGCTGGATCTACCTGTGTAACTACTGAGCAGTTTTTGTGTTTACTAGAGAGGGCTACGTTTTGTAATTTTTACTTGCAGTGGAGTCGTCCAGATCTCATAATTATTGCATAATATAGTTATTTATTTCGCTACGACGGTTATAGTGACACTTTATTTGTTGACACAGTTTGCCATGATTATGCTGGCTAATCGTTGTGACTTTTCACTCAACGAAGAAAAACTAAATTCTAGGTTTGGTGTATCCATGTGGGTATGCAGGCAAAGTTAGCCAAAGTGTTTTCGTTGTGTGCGAGATAGAGATTAGATCTACTCTAGATCTAGAACTAGAGTAGAGTCTAGATTCTAGATCTAGATTCTAGATCTAGCTGCGATTGTTGTGTTGTGTAGTGATAGCAGAGACAAAGCAACCTTGGATTGTTGATAGTTGATCTTCTAGTTAGTCTAAGATCTAAGAATCTAGGATCTAGATTTAGATGTAGATCTAGTGATCTAGTATTGGTTAATGTCCTGTCCTGTTGTAACAAATAGCCCAAACCTGGCTTTACTTAGAAAATGGGCTAAGACTAGGCCAAGACTCTAAAAGTAGACAAAAGCAGGCTAAGAAATACACTGACAGGAGAGTGTTGTTTTTAAAAAGAAATATGGAGGAACCAAAAGCTGTGAACTTTGACTCTGATGTAGATCTAGTATCTCAAGTCAAACCTGAGATAGAATCAGAATTTGATTTGCCAGTGGGTAAATCCATTGACGACACCATTGACGAATGTGGTAAACAAAGTATGAACTTGAAGGAACCAGAAGAGGTGGCAACTGTTCAACAAGTCAAACCTGAGATAGACTCAGACTCAGAATCTGATTTGCCAATGGAAAAATTCATTGACAATGACAATGCCATTTACGGGTGCAGTAAGTCTAAACAAAGTATGGTGGAAGAACCAGTGGTACCTGTTGTTGTTGAAGTTAAACCTGAGTTAGACTCTGAGTCAGAAACTGATTTGCCGATGGATAGATCCATTAGCAACACCATGGTGGAGTGCTCAGAATCTGATCTTAGTCTGATGGATAAATCGGATAATTATGCCCTTGTACCCCACTCAGAATCTGTTCTGCTGGTTGATAAATCTGATAACATTACAACAGACTCAAAATCCCATCTGCTGGTGGATAAATCTATTGACAGTGAACTTCAATCATGTATAAGGAGAAATGATGAAAACTTTCATCAAACACTGATAATGGAAGTAGAAGCAGAGGCCAACAGCATTGATGGGAATGAACAAGTGGCTAAGATTCAAAGTGAGGATTCAAGATTTGGGGAAACCATGCAAAATACTGTTACATCAAAAACTATTAGGTCAATGGACAGTCAAAAATTTGAAAGAAATGCTTGTGGATCTTTGCTCGAGAACATAGCGGAAACTAATTCTGGAAGTGATATTGATGCCTCGTGTAAGAGTACGGAAGCTTACAGTGAGCTTGTTATTTACCGCAGAGTGGAACAAGATCAGTTGTACTCCTTCGAGATCTGCAGAAGATTTTATTCAGAGCCAATCTGGGCAGAGCGACCCAGCATAAGTTCATGTTGCAAACCATCGAAAAAGCGCAAGCGGAAGCGCCCATCATATCCTCTTGAGCTGGCGGTGTGCTGCTCAAAGAAAGCTCTCCGACGAGTGCGGCCTTCCAATTTTGACGAAGTTTGGCCCAATACTGACATGATTGTCTCTGATGAAGATGGACGGAAGTCTTCAGAATGTTCAAACAAGGGTCCTTTAAATGGTGCTGAAAAAGGTGAGTAACGGTTATTTACCGAAAATGTGGGTCACAACACGATGAAATCAGGTGCTCGTCAATTTTTGGGCATGTGCATGTGGAGTTATAGCTTATTAATATATTTATATGTCTATCTTTCGGTGAAAAAATATCCATCTCTGTCTTGAATAGAAGATGAGATACTTTAAAAAAAATTAATTTACGATTGTGAAGGAGGCAGGGATCGCCTGGTTTCAGAGCTATAATTAGCAAGAAAATGGCCACCAAAATTTGGTGACTTCGAAAGCTTTGGAGTCCCTGGAGACTATACATTTACTTTTTTTGTGTCTTTCATCAAAGTTTTTCACTAAAATTCACAACATAAAAAAGTGTGTTTTTAACTCCCTGCAGGTTTTGCTTATTTTGGCTTTTTCATATCAGGGGTCCTCCTCCCTCAAGCCTCATGCAATAATTTATCTATCTATATTATATATATATATATATATATATATATATATAGATATAGATATATATATATATAGATATATATATATATAGATAGATATATATATAGATAGATATATATATAGATAGATATATATATATAGATAGATATATATATAGATAGATATATATATATAGATATATATATAGATAGATATATATATATAGATATATATATATAGATATATATATATAGATATATATAGATAGATATATATATATAGATATATATATATAGATATATATAGATAGATATATATATATAGATATATATAGATAGATATATATAGATAGATATATATAGATAGATATATATAGATAGATATATATATATAGATATAGATAGATATATATATATAGATATATATATATAGATATAGATAGATATATATATATAGATATATATATATATATATATATAGATATATATCAGTGGAAAGAAAATTTGATGGTCTTTCAGACATAGCCAATATATTTCATTTTTGTCATGCTGTCTTGAAGTGGGACATTTTTTCTTGTTTACTAGAAATAGAAACAAAAACAGAAACACTTTTCCAACAGTCGCAAAGCCTAGGGGAAAAAATGATTGATAATTTAGATTTTACAATTATACCATGGAAAAGTGCATTCAGTTCTGTATATTATGTGTCAAAGATAGATACACCATTCTGTTGGAAAATAAAGAAATGAGAGCCATTCTCTAGTAGTACATGAGCATTTGCCAAAAGGTGGGATACCAGGGTGTGACAAATGAGGTCCAAAATCAACTTTATGTAATAATTCTTTAATCACCCATGTTATATAGCCTAATGATTGCTCTTTCAGGCTCAGTAACTGCCAAAGCTGTGTATGCAATGGTCTTGGTGTAATTCTGACTTGAATGACGGAAATAGCAAAAAGTTCGTTCATAACAATGATGACACAAATTTATGAATACTCAAAGTTCCTTTCTTCAGCTAGGCTGATGTTATATTTTGAGACATAGCAAATAACTTCCAAAACTACATAGAATTGACAATTTATAAAAATCTTTATTAATTTTTGATAAAATTACTTTTTTGTGTCATAATAGTTATGAACGAACAATAATTGACCAAAATACTATCAATTATATCAAGTTTCATCGACTAGAATTGTCTAAAATAACACTCAATTGACTAATTATAGTCAAGTGATAAATGAAAGACCATTAAACAGCTATTTTTAAACGCAGACTGGTCTTAAGGCATATTATGCATAAATTTAAAGTTCGTTCATAACCATTATGACACACTGTTTCGTTCATAACTATTATGACAAATTTTACTTTTGGCCCCTAAAATTTACTTATATTGTTCTGTCTTTCACATAAAACGGTTTTCATTTATGAGGCTTTCCTTAAAATGATAGATTCCTCTATGTAGGTAGAATTCAAAGTTTATATTTCCTGAAAAACCCTTAGAATACCTTTAAAATGGTTCGTTCATAACAATTATGACAAACTTCAATTTTGACCTAAAAATTTACTCATTTTGATCTGTCATTCATTTTTTAAAACTTTTATTAAATGAAACTCTCCTCATAATATGTATCTCTGTACATGTTTTTAAAGTTTGTTAACACTGAAAAGCCCTCAAAATATATAAAATGGACTATAAATAGTTCGTTCATAACCATTACTACAAAAGTATAATACTAATTAAAATCCACACCCATACACTTATGATAAAAATCAAAATATCAGAATGTATACAAGGTCTATTCTGTCCTTTAGTTGGGTTAAAATTAAAAATACATCCCAAAACAACTGTAAATTACATGGAATTAGGTTTCGTTCATAACCGTTATGACACACTGTTTCGTTCATAACTATTATGACAAATTTTACTTTGGGCCCAAAAAATTAACTTATTGTTCTGTCATTCACATAAAATTGTTTTAATTTATGAGACTCTCCTCAAAATAAGGTTATATGTTGGAAGAATTCAAAGTTTAATCACTGAAAAACCCTTAGAATACCTTTAATTGTTCGTTCATAACTATTATGACAAACTTCAGTTTTGACCTAAAAATTAATATTTTGACCTGTCATTTACTTTAAAATTTCATATTAAATGAAATTTTCCTCATAATATGTATCTGTGTACATGTTTTTAATGTTTATCAACTCTGTAAAGCCCTCAGAGTACAATATGTAGTTCGTTCATAACCATTACTACAAAAGTAAAATACTAATTAAAATCCAGACCCATACACTTATCATAAAAATCAAAATATCGGAATATAAGCAAGGTCTGATACATCCTCAAGTTGGGTTAAAATTAAAAATACATCCCAAAACAACTGTAAATTACATGGAATTAGGTTTCGTTCATAACCGTTATGACACACTGTTTCGTTCATAACTATTATGACAAATTTTACTTTGGGCCCAAAAAATTAACTTATTGTTCTGTCATTCACATAAAATTGTTTTAATTTATGAGACTCTCCTCAAAATAAGGTTATATGTTGGAAGAATTCAAAGTTTAATCACTGAAAAACCCTTAGAATACCTTTAATTGTTCGTTCATAACTATTATGACAAACTTCAGTTTTGACCTAAAAATTAATATTTTGACCTGTCATTTACTTTAAAATTTCATATTAAATGAAATTTTCCTCATAATATGTATCTGTGTACATGTTTTTAATGTTTATCAACTCTGTAAAGCCCTCAGAGTACAATATGTAGTTCGTTCATAACCATTACTACAAAAGTAAAATACTAATTAAAATCCAGACCCATACACTTATCATAAAAATCAAAATATCGGAATATAAGCAAGGTCTGATACATCCTCAAGTTGGGTTAAAATTAAAAATACATCCCAAAACAACTGTAAATTACATGGAATAAGGTTTCGTTCATAACCATTATGACACACTGTCACGTTCATAACATGATGACAATCCATTATGACAAGCATATTTTTGCCTCTCCTTCGCTTCTCTTTTGAGTCATCAGCATGATACTCTTCCATGTTCATTCCACCATGTAAAAGGATGTTGTGAAACAGTGGGAAGTCCCTCACATGATATTTTGCAGAAATATCATAAAGTGTTTGTTCATAACATCATTATGACAAACCTGGATTATCTCAATCAAAGTCATATTTAAGCAAAACCATGCGATGGAGCGGAAAATTACCCTTCTGATGGATCAATGTCAAACCAATATTTAATACCGGTCATTTCCCGGGATGATATGTTTAACGATTTGGGTTTTCTAGACCTTGGAAAGTCTGATGATGTAATTATGACACGAGTTATGAACGAACTTATAAATTTTACTCAGCAATAACATCATTAATATAAAAAAATAAAACCCTTTTAATGGACACACGCTGTTATGATGGTGTATACAAACTATTTTCAATGTTTGAATGCACTACTGTTTGATAGTTTAAGATTAACAATATTCTGTATTTAACATACAATTACGTGTGCACTCAGGATGAGTAAAAAATGCCCTATTTTTAGTACTATTATCTTTCTATGTAGAGATATAAGATGCACACATCAATCCACTTGCTCATGCAGCTTGACCAACTTATTTCCTTGCCATATGCATAAAGTTTTCAGAAGAAAACATATTTTACCATGAGTAGTGGTTGATTAAAAAAGTCCTCATGCAAACACCCCCACCTTTTGGCAAAAGCTCACATCCTACAATTCCTAGTTCGTGCCCTTAAATTTGGAAATTTCATATTAATGACTTTTTGCTCTTAAGCTTCCTGCAATAATCTATCTGTTCCAGATAGACATAGGAGGGCCTATCATATATATATATATATATATATATATATATATATATATATATATATATATATATATATATATCAATAGAAAGGGAATTAGATGGTCTTTCAGACCTAGCCAATAGACTTCTCATATATAAAATTTGTCAAGCTTTCTTGAGGTGTGACATATTTTCCGTGTTACTAAAAATAGATGCAGAAACAGAAATCGGACTGCCCCAACAATCACGAAGAAAAAGAAAATATATTTAACAATTTAGAGTTTACGTATATTTGATGAGGAGTACATTCAATTCTGCATGTAATGTGTAAAAGACACCTTTTAAAAATAAAGAAATGAGGGCTGATCTTGTGCATTAAATCCTCGGTTATTGCCCCTGAAATTGGAAGTTTCGGTGCGAGAATGTTATAATAAAACCATCAATATCAATACCTATTTTATATTTTTTTAGTTTATTTAGTCATTTTTATTTGATAAAAATACCTTACAAAATCCTTCTTTATAAAAGTAAATGTGTTTTATGGGCAAAATACCACATATCACCAGCCTTCGTACATGGTATACATATATATATTTATACGATATTGTACTGCAGGAACTGCTGAGAGTTAAATGGATAAAATTTGTCGAATTTTAGTTAAATTGCTGAGGCCAAAGGGGCGGAAAAATGCTGGTTTCTTTGATTTCATTATCTTGATTATGAGTGCCTGATTTCACCACGATGCCTCAAATATATGATTGTTGTTATGATTGTCTTTGTACGTCTTTTACTTTTTAGTCATTCATTCTTACTTTTTGGAGGGTTTTGGTAAATTTGTACTTAAATTAGACCCGCATGTAGATACATTGTTGGGGGGGGGGGGGGAGTGTTAAACTTCTATAAATTTTGCTTTAGAACACACATAGTACATAGGGCCGCTAAAACCCTCGTAAGTCGCACTTTCAACAAAATATGAAACCTAAGTGCCAAACATTTTTTTAAAATTATGACAGTGAAAGATCTTGTCAGTTTGTTAGTGTTTGAGCGCTTAATCAGCTGCTTGCACTGTATGCTTCCCGGGAAGCTGAGAATGTTTCGGAGTGTTCTATGGTCTGCTGGGGTAATAATATAGTGTAAGGCGCATAGAGCCTGCTGTTGAGCGGGGATATGCGCTATACAAATGCTATCTATTATCTATTATTATTATAAAATTATAAACACCCTGAAGGGTCCCCCCCCCCCCCCTGTTGTTAAAAACAAGTCAAATATTAATTATTACACAATGGTCCAGTTGTGATATAGACCTAATTCTTATGAAAATTGGATACATCTCATATGAACTAATAATTTACTCTGAATTCAGATAAAGTGAAAATTCGTGTGAAGCAGATAAAACTGAACAAGAAAAGTGCTTTTTTAGAATATCTCAGTGTAAGACGGGTCCATGTGTAAAATAGTGTGTACTGTATCGGTTTTTTTCATGTTGTCCTCTCAAAGACAACTCTTGCTTCACATTGGGACTAGCAACAATGACATTGACAATGACAATCTGTATTCATCTGGCAGGGAGAAATTTGTCTTGGTCGTTTACAATGGCACTAGATGTTACAAAGGCCTACTGGTAGGTGTATACTCTCAGTCCAGACTGGCCCTGTGGGTGGTTGGCGGGTGCTCTAGCGTGGTTTGCTCCTTCTTTCCTTTCAAACATCGTTTGTCCTTAACTCCCGTCCTTCTTTTTTGTGTTTGTTACTCTCCTCTAATCTCTTTAAACATGACCTATGTTATTGTTTTCCTAGTGGGCACTGTAAAACTCTTGTCTAAAACTGAAGGAGGGTGAAAACCCTGGATATATGTGGAGCAGGAGTAAGTTCCAAATGTTGGGGAGGGGGGGGGGGGGGGCTTAAGTTTACTTTTACAGAATATATATCTCCCATCAAGAACATCTATCTCTTTGTATGTTTCTACTTGGGGTTGTATTCCATGATGCAGCCTGGGTTGAAATGGGGAAGCTGTTCTTCGTTTGGAAGATGTAAATTGTATTGATTTTGGGGAGGGGGGTATAAAAGCACAACGCTAGCATTTGTGGTGTAGTGGTTAGGCGCTTCACCTTTGTATGCTGTAGACGTGAGTTCGATTCCTATTTGGGGGGAGTTTCAAGAGTATTTCGGTCTTTCTACTGGACATTGTATTTTTCGCAGCTCAAGTTGACCTGGACAGGGGGGGAGTCATCAAACTACCTCCAACTCTCTTCTGGAATATTGTATATTCTTCTCAGGCCTCATTGGCCCCGATAGGCTGGAGTCAAAACAGCCTGTCTCTAAAAAGGATCTAAATTGTATGATTGGGGTGTAAAAATTAGTATGAAGTGAGGGTTTTCTTCACATCTACTACAACAACCCATCATTGAAACCTTGTGTGTGTGGTTGCCGAGTACTCTGGTGTGGTTTGTTTCTTCTTTCATATCAAACATCTATCACCCTTATCTCTACCCCTCCTTTTTTGTGTTTGTTTTTTTCTTGTAACATTTAGAATTAATCTTTGGCACTTACATTTCCTGATTGTGTTGCAAGTGCCCTAAAACTCCTACAAAAAAATTTTTTTAAACCTTGTGCATTAATTAGAGCTTTCTTTCTTTTTTATGTTTTTTCTTCCCACAGATATCTCTTCAGGTCGCCGCTGTCTCTGGGCCTCCTGGAGATCCACCACCTTGGAACATCCCGTGCGAGGGAAATCTGGGCACAGTTCAAGTTTCTCTCTCGACAAAATGCAGAAGACTCATCAAAGAGGAGTGGACAGCGTCCAGCAGAGAACAACTGTTTCGGATACCCACGCTACGGAGAAAGACGCTGATCGCCATCTTGCCAGACCAAGTAATGACCAAGGGTCTATGCCATCAGTAACTCCAGATCACAACTACACTCTGAGCTCAAGAGGGTGTGACTCCATTATTAATCGAAAGGTTTCGGATGTCAATCCAGATATAGATAGTATAAGTACGCAAGGTTTGCATCAAAATCAGGGGATAAAGGAAGAGCCATGTGAGTATGAAGATAATAACGAGTGTATTGTATATAACGATATTGCAGACGTTGATGATGATGTAGGAAGAAACTCCTACAGCCGTGACGATAATAAGAAGTCTGAGTGTGATAACCATGTATCAGACGCTGGGGGGAAGGAGTGTAGTTATCTACGTAGACTTCTCACAGCGAAACCCTTGGACAGTTGTGAGGAAATGCACTCACTAGAAAAAGACAGAACAAGTTTTAGGAAGAGTGGAATACCGCAGACAGACGAAGCGCGATGTGGAAGTGGCGCGGAAAAAAAGCAGCGACAAACACAACACGCCACTAGCTCTGTCGTTAGCGGCTACAAACCTCTCGGAGATTCTGTACACAAAACTTACAAATGCGAGGCCTGTCGTAAGAGTTTTGCAAGTCTTGGTAATCTTATATGGCATAATAAATCGAAACATCCGGATGAAAATCCGTACCCGTGCGACGTTTGTGGCGCAAAGTTTTCCAAGATGGAAGCGCTGCGGGTTCACAGAAAGACGCATAAGGGAGAAAAATTGTACAGATGTGAGCACTGTGGTATGAGGTTTACGAAAAGAGTTGTCCTGCTCAGGCACAGAAGTAGTGGGCCCTGTGGAGAAAAGCCTTACAAGTGTGATGTGTGCACTGCCCAGTATGCAGACGAAGGTACTCTGCGATTGCACAAAAAAATTCACCCCGCAGAAAAACCTTACAAGTGTGATGTTTGCGGTGATGGGTATGCAGACAAAGGTGCTCTCCGATGGCACAAAAGAATTCACAACGTAGAAAAACTCTACAAGTGTGATGTTTGCGGGGACGAGTATGCAGACAAGGACCGTCTCCAACGGCATAAAAATATTCACGCCATAGAAAAACCTTACAAGTGTGATGTGTGCAGTGCCGAGTATGCAGACAAAGGTACTCTTCGATGGCACCAAAAAATACACACAGTAAGGAAACCGTACAAGTGTAATGTGTGCAGTGCTGAATATGCTGATGAAGGTACTCTCCGATGGCACAAGAGAGTTCACTCCGTCGGGAAAAGTTACGAGTGTGACGTTTGTCATGTCAAGTACACCAACAAAGCCACTCTCCAGTGGCACAAAAGAATTCACGCAAGAGAAAAACTTTACAAATGCGACGTTTGCAATGCCGAGTATACAAGCAAGTCAGCTTTCCAATGGCATGAAAGAGCTCACAAGGAAGAAAAGAAATTCCAACGCAATTTTCCTACTGTTTCGGGAGGTCTGCAAAATCAAAAAGAAACCCGTCCGGACCAGAAGTCTTACACGTGCGATATGTGTAGTGCGACGTTCCCACAAAGGGCCGCTCTAGAGGAGCACAGGAGAGAACATAGTAGTAGTAGAGGAAAGCCGTTTTCCTGCGCCGTGTGTGGAGTCAGTTTTACGCTGTGCGGCGACCTACTGGATCACATACACACGCACTTTCCGGGAAAGCCGTTCAAGTGCGACGTTTGCGGCGATTGTTTCGCCCAGATTGGCGACCTCTTGAATCACAAAAAAATGGCGCACGTAGGACAGAGACCGTATGTGTGTAAAGTTTGCAACATTCAGTTCTCACACAGAGGCCTTTTTCTCAGGCACAAAAATCAGCATAAAGGAAGCCAGCCTCCTGCACTGCTACGAAGTTTGTTATTGGCCGGATCAAAAAGCAGCAGTAGTACATCGATTTGAGTTGTTGGTGGTCTGTCTAGTGGTTAGGCTGTTAGTTGGGCTCACAACCAAAAGGTTGTTGGTTCAAACCCTACCAGGGGTCCGAGGTTGAGGCCTTAGAATAGGCTCTTTACGCACATTTTCTTCATTTCATTCTTATGAGAATGGGTAACCCAGCTTGTCAGTTTGATAGTGTTTGAGTGTTTAATCGGCTGCTTGCACTGTATGCTTCCAGGAAAACAGAGAAAGCTTTTGAGTGTTCTCTAGGGTTTGATGGGATAATACTGTAGATTGCAAAGCGTATAGAGTTTGCTTTTAGGCGGGGATATATTATATATATATATATGAGAGGGTGAGATGCAAAACCCGCTAAGCGACATTTTTGGAAAAAATCAAGATTTTTTTCCTATAAATGCACATAGTTACGGGTTATCAGATGCACTAATAAATAAAAGGAGAAGATGGAGATGGATTGGACATGTTCTGCGAAGAGAACCAGACTCTATTGTGAAGACTGCCCTCCACTGGACACCCGAAGGACGTCGCAAAAGGGGCAGACCCAAAGTAACCTGGAGACGCACAGTAGAGTCTGAAATGAAGTCCTGGAATCATTCGTGGGGAACGCTGACCAAGATGGCCCAAAACAGACAGAGCTGGAGATCCTTTGTTGCTGCGGTAAACGCCAGATGGCGTAATGGGTAGTAAGATAAGAAGAAGATGCACATAGTGTTCTCAGCCAAAACCCAACACATCCTTCATAAAGGCCGTCAAAAAAATCTTCTTTTTACACAACTCCCGATAATCCTATATCCAAAATCGTAATTTTTCTTAACTTGATCGCCTACATCCTAAAAACACATTTTATCGGCCAATGAAATTTCCCGATCCTGTGACGGGACTTCCTCTTCAAACAGGCGTCGACGAGTGGAAACTATACGTGTGTAGTTTTGTTCAGCCTGGTACCTCAGCTCATTTAATACGTTCGATAGAGATAGCTCACTTTCACCCTCTGCCAGCAGACAAGAAATCCTTTGACCTGTGAGGGCTAAGTGTTGTAGAGAGGATTACTGTGACCTTAAGAAGAGCAAAAGATCCAGGGGACTTTTTTTTTTCGGAATATATAACTGGTTTGGGCAAATCACTACGGAACCACTTTCATGTCATCATCATCGTTGCCTTGGCTAAAACAGCACCTGGACATGGATGGCTGGTGCCTCTATAAATAAGTCATTGATGGTCTGGTATCATCATTGCCTTTCTCACCCCGGATCAGGATATAGGCCACGAACAAACACTTTCCACCTTTCCCTATCCCGGGCTAGTGGCTTGATGTCACTCCACGTCTTCCCACTTTTCTCTTGGGTCACTTGAGAACTCTTTCCTGCTTCGTACATGGTGCGAACATTCCACGACGCAATCTGGAGAGACTTGTTCGACAGAGAAGGTTTCGGGTCAGAAACCACTTTAATGTACATACCGCAAATTTGTTACATGTATTTTAATCATCTTACATTTTTTTTTGTCCAGCTCCCTGTGTCGGTAGACCAGCTCCCTAGTACTCAGTGTTGTACTTCTGCAACTAGTTCGTGCGTTTAGAAGAATTTTAAAAAGCTGATTTTCTCGAAAGTGCTAAAATAGATGTAGCGGGTTTTGCATCTCAGCCCCTCATATGTGTCACGACGCAGTGGAATCAGGTGCTCGTAAATTTTTGGCCGTGTACAGTTATTGGTATCATCTTAAAGCTTATTCATTCGTCTTGCCTTGGATGAAAAAAATACCCACTTATCTCGAATAGAAGTCTAGATATTTGCAAATGAAAGAGGTGGTCTGGTGGTTATGCTGTCACCTGGTTTCAGAGGTAAAATAAGTGAGAAAATGGCCGTCAAAGTTTAGCTATTTTCCTAGCTTGAGAGTCTGTGAAAACTGAAAAATTACATTTCTTGTGCCTCAAATCAACGTTTCTCTGTAAAATCCACTCAGAAATGTGTTTTTTCTTCGGCATGAAAGGTGTTAAACTAAAAAAAAACATAAGTTCGATAAAAATTTACAAACCTGCGGGAAAATGCCAGTTTCTTCACTTTGATTATTTTGACGTGCGCCTGATTCCACCACGCTGCCTTACATATATATATATAGAGAGAGAGAGGGAGAGAGAGCTGGGCCCCCTTTCAATGAAATCAGACAGATACTAAGATCGGTGCATTAACATCAACTGAAAGTCATTGGCCTACTACATTTACACTCTACTGGAATGGAGCAATAAATCTTGAGAGAAAAGTGACATGTGTTTCCAGTTGCCAAAAAATAGATGTATAGATTCCGCTTTCGTGGTTGTACACTCCGGAATTTCAAAGGTGTGGAACCAGTGCGCACGAATAGTGAACGGAAACCTCACTTGTTTACAATGGCATCTCAGAAGACGGACTTTCTGTGTGGACAAAACAAAGCATTTTGGAAAAATCGGGGAAAGCAGTTTGCGTGGATTTTTAAAAGTTAGGTCCTAGCCTCATGGATGCTGTGGACGCCTGCAAAGTTTCAAAGCTGTGGGTTAGGTAATAAGGAAGGAGTTTGCACACAAAGCCTCCCAAGTCCACTTTTATATATATAGATATATATATATATATATAATATGCTGTACAATTGCTTTTTATTATTGTTAATTATTATTATCACTTGATAGTTGTCATTTGGTGCCTTGGAAGGGCAAATCAGACAGATACTAAGTTGGCTCATTCGTGGTTTTATCGGGAATCATGAGATCTTTTTTACAAAAAATGTTATTTCAGTATACAGAGGTGTCCAGTTAAACCAAACATGGTTAACCCAAAATAGTGGTAAACCAAAAGATACTAAAAACCTGATTTTTATTCTTCTATTTGAACAAGTAACGTCTTTTAACCCTTAAAACCTAGGCTTCTGAGCCTTTAATGGGCTATACCTTGGGTTCCTGGGTAATTTCACTTATTATTTTCAGGTGTACCTTTCTACAGCTCATTTTAGTTTTAGTGTCGATCTTATCTTCTATTTGTCTCAGCGCCTCTTATCCTAATAGTGTCGATCTCATCTTCTATTTGTCTCAGCGCCTCTTATCCTAATAGTGTCGATCTTATCTTCTATTTGTCTCAGCGCCTCTTATATAGCCTAATAGTGTCGATCTCATCTTCTATTTGTCTCAGCGCCTCTTATCCTAATAGTGTCGATCTTATCTTCTATTTGTCTCAGCGCCTCTTATCCTAATAGTGTCGATCTTA